CTCACAAGATTTGACTGCTGTGTATGGTATGTATGCTGTGTATGGTCCACTGGCCATGACTGCATCATTTCAAATCAGTTCAAAGCCCTGCTTAAGAAGCAGTGAATTTATGTTAATGTGGGAGGTACAACTCTGAAAAGGAGGGTGACGAAGTTCATATAACTCAAAGCATGTAATCAATGCCACTGAATTGTTTCTATAGAAACTGTTGAACTGATGTATATTTTGCTACGTACATTATCAACAACAAAAAAGGTCACACTGCTGGTAAATGGCAGATCAAAGAAAAAAAAAGAAAGAAAAACTATATACTGTATATTAATCAAAAGCTTCCAAGCCGATAATTTGAGGGAACAATAAGGTATTTCTATGCAGATTAATGCATAGAATTAACAATGCAGATTAATAGGAACTCTGGTAGTATAGGCACTTGACTGCTAACCAGAAGGCTGGTGGTTCAAACCCACCAGCCACTCCTTGGAAGGAAGGTTGGGCAATCTACTTCCGTAGTGACACTGCCTTGGCAACCCAAGGAGGGGTCGCTATGAGTTGGGTCCGACTCGACGGCAAACAACAACAACATGCAGATTAATACCGTCTTTTCCTTTTCATATTCCATGTATATGATTGTCAGTTTGTTTACAAAGTTTTAAACATACCATATGGGAAAATGGACACCCCTATTTGTCACTACTAATACATATGATTATGTAATCAGAGTCCCTAATATTTTAGGGAGAATGAGGGAATGGATACACATACCTATACTGTTTCCTATGAAACAGAATAGATATGCACCAACATCTTAAAAATACCAGAGTGAGCTGGAGAAGGTATTCAGGCCAGACCATAGAAGATTTCTCCTTGACATAGAACATTCAGGAGATTCCAGATTTCTCTACCTGATTATTGTGTCTCCATGATTATGATATCAGATAAGCCAATTACAGAAGCACAGTTCACCAGGGTCACATAATGGACATTTATGCAATACTGCCATTAAAGTTCTTAAAATTTGAGAAGCCTTCTGGCTGCTGATAAGGCTAGAGATGGTGCCTTAGCTTAGTTAAATGGTGATACAAATAACTACTTATATTGGGACAAAGTTCAGGTATCAAAGACATACAAACTTGAGTTCAAATTCTCCTTTCATGACATTCTAAATGTGTAAGTTGTATCTCTCTGAGCCTGTTTCCTAACCTAACCCTGCAGGTTGTGGTGAAGGCAATAATTAAACTAGCATTCCTTCATTCAGCAAATATTTATTAAGCACCTAATATATGCTAGGAACTCTGGTAGATGTACAGTACATTCCAGTGTGGCTACTATGCAGAGTGAGGGGGAGACAGTAAAATATGTGGCATGTTCCCCTAGGTGTCCAACAAGAGAAGAAATATATCTGTGAAATTATAGAATCAGACTTTGTTCCCTAAGCCAGGCTTGGACACTATCTATTTAAGTAATCTTTTAAGTATGTTGTTAACAGTGTGCCCTTAACTGGGAGAAGGAGGGGTGCTAAGACAAATAAAAACTGTCTTCTGTGCTCTTCTGAAATAGTTTTGGTCCCCAAATCAATGGGAGTATATTAAAAGAGAGAGAAATAAAAATCCTGAGGTCCTATTATATGAGAACACTACTGTAAAAAGTTTACACACGAAAAGAATTATTCTTTGAAGGTTACCAGGGGTGGGAGGGGAAAGGAGGGTAAATCACTAACTAGAGGGCAAACTTGTATTAACTTGTGTGAAAGGGAGGGCAATACACCATAGGGGGAGGTCAGCACAAAATGATCAAGGCAGCAAAAGATACAGAAAGGAGCAGAGGGTTAAAGGCAACAAAGGTGAATAGTATTATGTATACAATCCTGAAATAACAATAATGACAATAATCTGTGAGTAAATACATAGACACTCAAGCTGAACAGGGGTGGGAAAATGAATGGTACAACACCTACGAATATTTAGGTTTAACAGAGGATATCTCCACCTATGTATTTATATGTGCTGCAAATATATCATGAATATAGTAAAGCGTATCAGGGAGCAAAGTTATGAAAACTTTTTACTCATAACCAAACACCTTGAGGGAATGTGTCACAGAGCCTGGAGGTTCAGGACCGCAGACTTGGGGGACAGTAAGGCCAACTGACATAACATAGTCCACAAAGACGATGTTCTACAACATACTTTGGTGAGCAGTGACTGAGCTTTGAAAATCTTGTGAAAGGCCATCTTAGGTGCAACTTTTGGTCTCTCAGTGTTCAGAGCAAAGAAGAGTGAAGAAAATCAAAGATGTGAGAAAACCATAATCTAAAGAACTAATGGACAATGTGATCCACAGCCTCTACCACCTGAGACCAGAATTAGATGGTGCCTGACTACTACTGCTGACTACTCTGAAAGGGATCACAACAGGAGGCCCAAGACAGAGCTGGGGTGGTAGTGGTGGTGGTGGTGGAATGTAGAACAAGTCAATACCACAAAAAAGACCAGGCTTACGGGTCAGATAGAGACTGATGGAACCCCTGAGATTATGGCCTTTAGACATCTTTCAGGCCAAGAACTCAATCCCCATGGCTCAACTTACAGCAAAACTAGACAGGCTTATAAAGGGAACAATACCAGGAAGGTATGTACTCGTTATAACAGCCAACCAACCAAGATCACAAGGGCAGCATTTGTCCAAGAATAAAGCTAAGAAGCCAGGAAGGGACAGAAAGTAATGATGAAAGGAAGTGGTAAACAGAGGGAGGAAGTCAGAAGAGTTCTGTTCCATTGTGGGGAATGAAATCAATGTCACGAAATAAAATGTGTATGAATTGTTGAATGGAAAATCTGTAAACTTTCACCTAAATCACAATAAATAATAAAAAATAAAAAATTCTGAGGAACAAAAAAATCTCCATTTTCTAGGCCAAACAAATGTAGATGGACATATTTAGGAACAAGTACATGCCACCCTTCAGATGACTGATTATTTTGTCTGTGTACACAGATACTAAGTAATGTTTAATGTCCTGCTGTTTTATAGTTCAGTGAATGGCTGACCTTAAGAAAAGTCTGTCAAAAACAGAAATAGAAATGTTTGCAATATCACACTAGTAAAAATTAAAAAAAAAAAAAATTGTAACAAGTATTGGTCAAGGTTGGTACAACATGGGTATTCATATACTTCTAGAAGCATGGACCACAGCGTTCCTTTTTTTACATCTCTGGCCCAGAACCTCAGACATCCCACAGTGACCCTGCTAAATGTCCTTTCCTGTATCAAGCTGGGACTTTCATGGAACTAGATAAGCAAACACTCTCAGCTTCAGCATGGTAGGACTCTGTATGAGCCAAAAGTTCTGAAACAGTGTTGCCTGTACTCAGTAGATCGTGCAATTTGAGTATTTTACCACATTTAATACTTCTTTTAAAAAATGATAGGGAAAAATAAGAAGTGTAGGTCTCAAAAACTAAATACAATTAGAACGAAGATGGAAAATAACAGATGTGCCCCAAAGTGGCAAATTTGCCTTTAATCAGATCCTAAGTGGATGGCATGGGGATGGGGGGGAGAGACAAATATGAATTATTATAAATTAATTGGAAATATGAATATTAAAATATGAATTACTGGGAAAATATTGAAGACTATGCCTAAAAGTTGAAGTGTAATTGGGACATATTTCTTAGCTGTCTGGCTATACAACCTCCCTCGATAACACTTACGTGTGCTGCTTGACTTCAGTCCTTATTTTTTCTAGAATGCTTCATGTACAGACAATTGTTGCTTTTGTTTGCCCTCAAGTCAATTCTGACTCATAGAGACCCCATAAAACAGAGCAGAACTACCTTATAGGGTTTCCAAGTTTGTAAATCTTTACAGAAGCAGACTGCTGCATCTTCCTTCTGCTGAGTGGCTGGTGGGTTTCAATCACTGACCTTTCCATTGACCGTGGAGTGCTTTAACCACTGTGCCACCAGAGATCTTTTAAGGAAGTAAGTCTCCACATTCAACACACTCTTTTGGGAGAAAAATTAGCATTATACATCAATAGCCTTGATTTCAACTACTTCACTTCTTAGAATTCATACTACAAAAACTTCATTGATTATGGAAAAAATATTTCAGCACAGTATGGATAACTTTGTAAACGATCTTGATGGCTAACTTTTATTGAATCTTTACCATGCTGAAAGCTGTTTTAAGCTAATCTTCATAATCATCCTACCAGGTTAAATATTAGTGTTACCCCCATTTTACAGATGAGAAGACCGAGACCCTAAGTAAAGTTAGGCAATGTGCCCAAGATCACACAGTATTTTATGAAAAAATTTCAAAACATTTGAAAAATATCTAAAACTGTATATACCATATGTTATCACAAATCTTTTTTTTTTTTTGTTTGGAATTTAAGTAGCCTATAAATAAGCTAATTATTAGTCACATTTTCAGCACTTTATAGAAGACATTTCATTCATACACACAACGATGTCTATGCATTTGTAAAATCTTTCATTTGCCAAAGAGGAAAGTGAAGTTAAGAGATTAAGTAATGTGCACCGGTAGGGCTGAATTTGACACCAGCATGTTACTGGATTTTCTGGGCCAAGCTCACAGCCTCCGCGTTCTAGACGCCCCAATTAAATCCCTCACAGCCCAGCCGCCTAAACTATGCTGAATACATGCAAGAGCCCAGTTATGCAAGAAACACTCAGTCTACGTAAAGACTGAAACAATTAAAAAAAAAAAAAAAAAGAAAAAGAAAAGAAATGAAATGAAAGGTACGTCTGTCTTTTCTTACGTGGGAAATCCCTCAGTAGGTCAGGCAAGCCGTAGTCCTCGGCCCTCCGGGCCTACAGACCGCATCTACCGGGCGCCCAGCCGCCAGCTCTGGCAGCTCTGGGCTGAGGCGGGCCAAGGAGCGACTTCCCCAAGGCATCTGCTTTTAGGGTCCGGACTTAGGGCTTTATAGAAGCCGCAAGCGAATCCCCTCTTCGTAGCGCCCACCTTACCTGACGCCAGGGACGAATCTCGAGTTCACTGAGAAAGCTTCGGGTGGGGCAGCCGCGGCCGGGTATGAGGGCGGGGACGAGAGCGCTGCTCCGATTGGCCGCCTCGCTCGCTGGCGGGCACCGGAGATAGGGGCGCGCAGGCTGGAGCAAGCGGAAGGGTGAGGAGGGGTTGTTGCCGCGCACTGGGGTCTGGGAAGTTAGAGCCCCTCACCCTTAGCCCTTGCTCTCTGCTTTGGTTTGGGTTGTGGTAGGTGGTACGGGGACTGGAAGGAAGAGACCTCGGCCGGCGCACCGCCGTCCTCTGGCGGTTCCTAGGCTTCTCGCGGGGCGCCGGGTCCCGGAGTAGGGGCGAGCGTGCGCGGGCAGGAAGGGTTCCCCCAGTCTGCAGGTCTGGAGCTGTGATAGTGCCCGGGCCCTTCGCTGCAGCTGAGCAGGGTGCTGCGGGGCTAGGGTGTAAGGTTGGTCGCACACTGACTTGATGGGCCCTGGGCGCGGGTAAGCGATCTGAGCTCGCCAACTGGAAGGATGGGGACATAGGCTTGCGCACCGAGGCCTGCTCGCCAACTGGAAGGATGGAGACATGGGCTTGCGCACCGAGGCCTGCTGAGGTCCCAGGGCGCTCGCAGCACTCTCTGCGCTCTGTTTACGGGTGGGTGCAGGCGGGAGTGGTGGTGTCCCTGTTAGCGTGTAGCGGCCTGTGGTTGGCCAGGCTCCTCACTGAGTGCTCTGCCCTGAGTCGTGAGCGTAGCAACCCTCTTGTACCCCCACCCTGGTCCAGCCATGGCACCAGCAGTGTCCCTTTGGAGTTAGTGGCCCCAGCTCGACCAAACAGGCAGCAGAGCTTTTTCTTTTCTTTTTTTGCCCTTTGTATAAATGAGAGTAGGTGGCCAATGCCGGCTATTTCTTGGGAACAGTCAGGTCTTTTATCCCAGGAGGGTTTGGTGGGGGCCTTGAACATGAGTAATCGGGCAGTGCAGGTTCTGGTCTACTGGGGCAGGGAGAGGCCAGTTAGGCTGAAGGCAGGAGATACAAGATAGAAGGTCAGATCTAGTTTCCTAACCTTCTGGAAAGACTATTTATCTCCAGGAGTCCTCAAACCAACTCTTAAAGGCAGGGTCTAACTGGTGAAGTTGACTGGCATTTTCCCCAACAGAGTGTCTCCTCCTTAATCTCAGAACCTAAGATGCCCACTTAACTAAGTGACATTTTGTTGGGTCCAGAGAAGGGAGGCAAGTCTTTTAATCTTGGCTTTAAATTTTTACCCCCAGCACTGACCTGTCTCCTGAATGCCATGCTCCTCTATTCAGCTGCCTACTTAACAATACCCTTGGAGATCTAAAATTCATCTCTCTCTTAACATGTCCAAATCTGGGCTCCTCATCTTTCTCCCAAAATTTCTCCCACAGGCTTCACCTGTCAATGGCAACTTCATCCTTCAGTTGTTCAGGCCAAAGAAATGTGAGAACCTGGTTGTTGCCCTTGGCTTGTATCTCTCTCATATCCCACATACATTCATCAGGAAATTCTTTTGGCTCTATCTTCCTACGTATCCAGAGTCTGACCTTGAAAAAATGAAAGATCATGTCGCTTCTCTGCTCAAAACCTTCCAGTGGCTTCCCATATAACTCAGAGTAAAAGCTAAAGTCCTTTCAATGGCTTCTATGGCCCACCTGATCTGCAGCCTCATCTACTGTTTTCCCCCTGGCTCACTCTGACCTTGCTATTCCTTGAACAAGGCAGGTAGCCTTCTGCCATAGGGCCTTTGCACTGGCTGGTCCCTCTCTCTGGAATGCATGGCTGATTCCCACATTTCCTAATCTTTGCTCAAATGCCATCTCAGTGAGAGCTACCCTGACCATCCCATTTTAAATTGCCACCTGCCCTCCACCTTCTGCTGTTCCTTAGTTTGCTCTATTTCTTCCCATAGCACTTGTCATCTTCTAATACACTCTGTGATTTATTTATTATGCTTATTGTTTATTGTCTACCAACCTACTCCTACCCTGCCTAGAATCAATAGGGCAGGAATATTCGTCTTTTGGGTCTGTTTTATTTACAGATGTATTCCATCACTGTCAGGCACGGAATAGGCTATAAACATTTGTTGAATGATTGTGGAAGCATGCCACAAGTAACATAGTTTTAGTAGTTCAGCATTCTGCTGCTAGAAGCTTGTTCCACAGATACCCCAAAGGAATGGAATGCCCAGCAGGTGGCTAGACCATAGATGGGGTGGAGAAGGGGCTACCATTCCATAGGCTTCAACTTCCCTTCATAGCCCTTAAGGCTTAGGGTGATGTGCTGCCAGCATCTGCTTGGTTTGACCACAGTCTGAAATCAGCTGTACTTTTGGGTGCCAGACATAAGACAACAAATAAAATGACAGGAAGGAAATTTTAGAAATAAATGCAGTCGGTTCAAAGTGGGATGATGATTCAAATTGTCCCAAGTGTAATTGGGACATATAGTAGCATATATTGACTGTCAATTCCCTAGGGAATTTCAGGAAGAAATAGTGAAGAAAACAAGAAAAGCTACTCTGAGTTTATCAGAGCTCTTTGAATTGCAAGTGATGGAAGCCCTACCCTATCTGGCATTTGCAAAAAAAGGTTATTAGCTAACATACCTGAAAAATCCAGACTGAGATAGCTCAGGTTTTGTTTTTTATTAGCTTCCCAACTTAATGAGGGCACAATGGAAAGAAATAGAAATAGCATGCATGACAGCCTGCACATGAGGCAAACTGAACCCAAGTCTCCTGTATAACCAAAAAAAAAAAAAAAAAAACCCACTGCCATTCTAAGGCAGCAAATCTTTACAGAAGCAAATTGCCCAGTCTTCCTTCTGTGGAGTGGCTGGTGGATTTGAACCACCAGCCTCCTGGTTAGCAATCCAATACCTTTAGGTGCTGTGCCACCAGAGCTCCTTAGTCTCCCACACAGAAGGCAAGAATTCTAACACCATTGCTCCCAGCTTCAGGTTTAGCTGCATGGAGTCCCTGGGTAGTGCAAGTGGTTAGCATGCTGTACTTTTAACCAAAATGTTGGTGCTTCATGTCCACCTGGAGGAACTTCAGAAGAAGGGCCTGATGAGCTAATTTCTGAAAAATTAGCCATTGTAAACGCTATGGAACACAGTTCTACTGTGACACACCTGAAGTAACCACAAGTCAAAATTAACTTCACAGAAACAATTTTGTTGTTGTTTTTTAAGGGCTTCAAACAATGCCATCATGAGTCTGTCTGTCTGTCTGTCTCTTTTTCCCCTATATCCACTTTACTCTTAGGCAGGGCTCATATGTTGTGGCAAATGCAGTTAACTTAGAAGTTCCAGGGATTCCTTCTGCCAGCTCGGCAACCTTAGAAGAAAGACTGTAGAGCTTGTACTGATCAGCTGGCCTAGATTGTGATATGCTCAGTCTCAAACCAGTAACTGTCACCAGAAGGATGCCATGTTTTCACAGGCAAGTCTAACTCAGGCCAGAAATGTGAGAGCACTTTAAATAAATCACATGGGGAAAAAGTGGTTCCCTAAGAAGAAGAACTGGGTTCTGTTAACAAAAGGTGAACATCTGTGTTTTTGCCTAGTTGTTGTTGTTATTTGCCATCAAGTCAGCCTCGCTATGAGTCGGGGCCAACTTGACGGCAAATAACAACAACAACTAGGCAAAAACACATGTTCACCCTCTAAGTCAGCTCAGTACTCTTTGTGATGGCATACCAATATGAACTCTGGGAGAGCCTGTGAGAGGCACCTGCATGTCAAGATCATAGTGCCAATGTGGGACTCAAGCCTCTACCATTCCTGTCATGATCTGATTGAATGTATTTGTTGCTTTGCCTTAATTAATCCTTCTAAAGTCCGATTTTATGTTCAGATTCTACTCCTTTTTTGAGCAATCACTTTCCATTGCACAAAGAAGTAACTCGCCAACCTGAAGGTTTTTGTTGTCGGCAGTCTCTAAGATGGTCCCTAGTGGTCCCCACCTCCTGATATTCATGTCCTATCCCTTCCTGGTGAATGTAGGCTGGATTTAGTGACTTGCTTCTAAGGATGGCAGAAGAGATGGGGTGTCATTTCTTAAATTAGATGATAAATTATACTATGTGACTTCCGTCTTGGGAGCTCTCTCTTTCTCTCAATTTCCTTGTTTGGAAGCATGCTGTGAAGAGAGCCATATAGCAAGGGTCTGAAATTTCTGGCCAGTAGCCTTGGGAGTGAGCTTGGACTTGGGTTTTCCCACAACCAAGCTTTGAGATGACTACAGGCATGGCTGATACCTTGATTGCAGCCTTACAAAAGGCCCTAAGCCAGAACCACCCAGATAAAATGTGCTCATATTCCTGACCCACAGAAACAGATAATTGTTGTGTGTTGTTTTCAGCTACTAAGTTTTGGGGTAATATGTAGTTTTGAAAACCCTATAGGAAGAGACAAGGAGCTCGGGTAGCACAGTACTTGAGGCATCTGACTGGTAACCAGAAGGTTGGTGGTTCAAACTCACCAGCCACTTTGTGGAAGCAGACTGGGCAATCTACTTCCATAAATATTTACTGTCTCAGAAACACAGTGGGGGTCGCTATCAGTCAGAATTGACTTGATGACAGTGGGTTTGGGTTTTTTTTGGTATAGTAAGAGGCTGTTTAGCAGAGAAACTGCAGAATTGATGGGAAAGGTTAGGGATATAGGACCAGGCTACCTTAGGCCACAAGTAACAGAAAACCCCAATTTGAACAGGCTCAAACAATAAGGAGGTATGTTAGAGTTCCTGCTTCACATCTCTGTCATTCTTTTTGCTTCACCTCCACCACATGTAACAGGATGTTAAAGATTGGATTTTTATTGAGACAACAGGATACAATAAATATGAAATTCTAGGGTTAGAGCTCTATGTGAAAAATTTTCCCAGGAAAGCATGCCAAGAAGCTGTACCCCTGTACTTCTGAGCCATATCAAGGATATAAAAAGGGATCACAGAGCCAACAAGCACCTGAAAAGATGCTCAACATCATTATGTATCCAAAACCAAACAAAACTCACTGCCGTCAAGTTGGATCTGACTCATCGCAAACCCTCCTTGGGTTTTCAAGGCAGTATCACTATGGAAGTAGATTGCCCAACCTTCCTTCCAAGGAGTGGCTGGTGGTTTTGAACCGCCAGCCTTCTGATTAGCAGTCAAATGCCTTAGGTACTACGCCACCAGAGTGCAAATCAAATCCATAATGAGATACCAATTCACACCCACTAGGATGGCTATAATTAAAAAAAGAAAAAGAAAAGAACAAATGTCAGCAAGGAAGTGCAGAAATTGAAACCTTTGTCATAATTAAAAAAGAAAAGAAAAGAACAAGTGTCAGCAAGGAAGTGCAGAAATCAAAACCTTTGTCCTGTGATGGTGAGGTTGTAAAATGGTGTAGCCACTGTGGAAAATAGTTTGGTAGTCCCTCAAAAAGTTAAACATGGAACTACCCTATGGCCCAGCAATTCCATTCCTAAGTATATACCCAAGAGAATTTGAAAACAGATATTCAAACA